AAATATAATTTCATAAGTGCAAAAGTGAAAAAAATCATTCAGTGGCAAACAATTCTTAGCAATAGTATCATGATTTGTTAGAATGAAGTAAATTAGTAAATCAGGGCAAGAAACAGGAAACATGTCACAATTATACTTTGAAATGCACATGATGGGAATCCAAAGAAAGTGAATTCATTTTGTTTGTTTTTACAACAAAAATTCTTTGATGATTTAAATTTGTGGAGCTAAATGCTCTAATCATATCCATCCCAAATGAAATCCAGGGACTTTCAAGATGATTTGCAACCTTTGGTATGCAGCTGCAGTGAGGCTTTCAGGCTCCTTTAAAACATATTATATCACATAAAACTGTCATAATTTAGATTTATATCATTGAATAACTACTGAAATATTTATTTAGTTTTTAAGGTGCTTTTTCCTGGTATCTGTAACAGTTTTATTCAATGTGTCATCCAAGCATCTATGAGAGTCTCCAAGAGCATTTCAGGGGGGCCATAAGATAGAAACTCTTTTCATAATAATACTAAAACTTCATCACCTTTTACATTCTCAATATCTCATGAGTATACAGTGAAATTTTACACAGGTTGCAAGATGCATAATAATATTGTACAATGGAAAGTGCCAACCTTTTGAATTCCTGAATTCCTATTTTTCATGGAATAAGAAGAAAGAAAGGAGAAATAACTAGAAGTGAGTATTAAAAAAACTGATTCCTTACACAATATCATTATGGAAAAGAGAAAACATACATAAGAAAATATATATTACTATCTTAGCTGACCCTTTCCTATCAGGCATTCTGTTGAGGACATAGCACAGAAATCAACATGGGAAAATGTCTGATAAATTGTTTTAAGTTTTGAGGTTAAGTGCTTTCTCAACTCTTCAATACTCTCTCCAGTTTAGGAATTTTTAAGTACAGAACTAGATGCTATATTTTCTATACACTCTTTTATCTTGCCTGTCACTCACAAAGACATTTTAAAGATGAGAGCAGCAAACATTCTATGTTTAGGCATTAACATTGAATCAAATGCTTCTCATGATTTTTAGTGCAATTACCCTCTACCTAAAGGCAATAGCTGCCAGAGGAGCAACTGGGAAAGGTTTAATACATTGAGGTGCTGAATGTTAATTTCCAAACTGTAGAAACTCCAGACACCAGATGAAATTTGTTAAATGTTATTAAAGTAGTGTGACTGCTTTTTTAAAGCAGATTAACCAGAATTTGTTTATCTGAATCAAATGCCTTGCATACTGTTTTAAATGGTGAAATTGTGTTTCTGAAATAACCATAATCATAGCATACTAAACCAGTAAACAAAGTGGATGTCTAAGCTGAATAATATTACTTTTGGTTAACAAACAGATTTTACTATGCATAAAACAATGTAATCATTTTCTTTTTTATTAAACTATAAACTTATTGAGACAAGAAGTTTTATCTCAGTCAAGTCTATTTCCCAAAATACCATATGCTTAAAAATTTTTGAATAATAGTATCAGTCATAATCAAACTTTAAAGATAATTCCAAGAGAAGAATTCCCCAAACATTTTGTGCAATATTGGTGTTCTTGCAGCAAGAACATATATCCAAAAAGAAAACCTAGAGTGGCATAGCTGTTTTGGTGTTATTGTTTAAAAAAACAGAAGTCCTGTTACCTTATAACCATACCTCATATTTTATGGTAAATTATAAACTTATTGTACTAAACGAGGCTTATTATGGAAGATTAAATCAACAATTTCTAAATTACTCTAGAAATGAACATGCAAATTACAGCTTCTCAGAAGAAAGCCAGGCCCCCCATGGATATTTTGAGGGAGTTCCAAGAAAATACAAGGATGAACACTGAAAAATTCTAAATAGCTATTTATTGATAGTGAATGAGCCCATTTGTTCAGTGTGGTTTTTAAATATCTTCAGACACTGAAAAAAGAAAGGCAAAGAGCCTGTTGCACTTTTATTTCAGAAATGCGAAGAGCAATTTTTTTTTTTTTTTTTTTTTTTGAGACAGAATCTCACTCTATTGCCCTGGCTAGAGTGCCATGGCATCAGCCTACTCACAGCAACATCAAACTCCTGACCTCAAGTGATCCTCCGGCCTTGGCCTTCCAGAGTGGTAGGATTACAGGCGTGAGCCTCTACTCTCAACCTTAAAGAGCAATTTTGACACAGCAACAACTTTCTTCTACTAAGGTAAAAAATGTGATCCTTATGAGGTCCTGACAAAGTAACAAGTGTAAATCAAACACTGAAAATTAACCCAATATACTCTGCAAAGAATGGATGACCTAGATTTAGATGAATCTTTCAAGTTCCTACCAGAGAAGGTGTTCTTTTGAGAATCTTAGAAATTAAGACTAGTATTTGGAACAAGGATGCTCTCATTTAATAACTGGACATGGCCTAGAAATTAAAACCTGAATGAATAACCAGAAATTCAATATTTTAAATAAAATCCTTTTGTTAAATACTAATAAACTGGAAGTATTTCTTGAATAATGCGATTGTTGTAACAACAAAACAATGCAAGAAAGCATGATACTTTTCATGAACTGTTAGAGGCTTATGTAGTAGTAGTTTACCAACGGTATTTTTAGAAAGCAGAGTAGCAGTGAGTAGAATAAAAAAACATTCCTGGGGATAATAAATAGTATTATCCTTTCTTGCATATACTCTTGAGTTGATGGTTTAGTCATAAAAATGATGCTCTGTTGCAGATATGTTGGCTGACTGATTTTTTCTGGAGATCAGACAAGGAGCAATAAAAGACACTATCAAGTATTTATTCCAATTTCATTAAGTGTTCAGAGCTACATAGTTGTAGTCACTGTTATAAATTTAATTCAACTAGCCACAAGATATAAAATTTCCTTTTCTTTCTCATGCTCTTACCTTAATGAACTGTGTTCCTAAGGACAACATATTTACACAAGACACATTTACAAAAAAATACTTAGATTCATGAACAAAATGAATCGGCTACAAAGTTTACTTGAAAATAAGAAAAACAAACAGCCACCAGGAGCATCCGAATTCCTAAACCAATGCATCTAGGAATACCCCAGAGGCACTGTGCTACAGTATCCTTTGGTTCTATTATTGTGGCTTTACATGACAATGAAGCTCTGTCTAGCATATTAAGTCTTTCTCAGAGTGTGTGTGATATAGATGCCATGTGACAACCTTGATGGTTGTTAATGGCATTGTCAAGATTGATAATTTACAAAAAGAATGAGCTGTGTGGGTTTTTTTTTAAACAGGAATAAACTTTTATTATAGAATTAGACAGGAAAAATAACAGGAGTCTACTGTGTTTGAAAACTACCCATTCTCTAGGCTGATGAGAAGATGGAGAAAATGGTTGTATACTACCATTAGAAGTGAAAATACATAACAAACTGTATTGAAGATAACTGGGCAATTCATATACCAAAAATTCTCACATATATGTACACGTTTTGATCCAGAAATTTTATTTCTAGAAATTTATCATGTGGAGGTAATCCCAGACAGACATGAACAATATCAGAACATATATCAAAATGTCATTAATAATATAAAGACATTGATATTCCACCCAATTAATATTGAATTGTTTAAATAAATTATATATATTAATAAAATGGAGTAATATGCACTATTAAATAATATTCTAAACAAATATTTAATCATCTGGAACATTTATATTTTAGGTTTTTAAGTTGAAACAAAGCATATTATAAAATAACAATGAATTTATATATAAAGTACGAAATTCATTGATAAGTTGAAATACAGATACTGGTATGATCCCATTTTCATAACTATATGCCAATGTGGGAATTATTTATATATTAAAATGTATAGAAAAATATTTTGAAAGGATAAGATTGCTTATCTTTGGGGAGCATGATAGTGATGACTATTATCTATTTACTTTTTGTTTATCTCTTTTCTAAATGTTCTGTGGTGAAAAAAATATTTTATGTTTCTTCTAAGTTTTCTGACATGAAAATTTTCTCTAAAGAAATGGAATTTCTAACAAATTTATCAATAAATATATGAAAAAGTATTCAAATTCATTTTAAATTAAATGGGTACAAATTAAAACAATTAGATTCAATTTCTTCTAATTGATAAGCAAATATTAAAATTAATGCCAATACCTAGTTTTATCAATATAGTGAAGTGTGCTCTTAAAGTAGGCACACACTCTTTAACACAGAAGATTCAGTTTTAGTAATACGTCATAAGGAAATCATCAGACTCCCATAATTATGAATGCAGATCGATCATTTTTGCATTTGTATAAAATATTTAAAAACTAAATATAATACTAATTTACTCACTCATTAGGGTTTGCTTTAAAAACATTACAACCAGAAAATAGAATACATCATGCTGCTAAAAATGAAAACTTAAAGATTACTTACTAATAGTGAAAATATTCAAGAGAAGTATTGCTAAGGAGAAAAATGGCATACAATGCTATTATGAAAACTTCTATTTCAATAATATAGTCATACATATGTTTGTATATGTAAGTATGAAGGAAAGTCTGGAATAATTGACTCACAAAGTTACAAACATTTTTTGTAAGTGGCATAATTATGGGCAACTTTTCTCTGTTTTAATGCTTTGTTTTGAAATTTTTATGTTATGAATTGGTGTTATTTATTAAAACATTGGTTTTAAAGTGTTTTAAAATTATATTTAGTAGCATGGGGGTCCTGAGAATTTCTCCAATCTGCTTACTCAACCATGATGAAAAGATAGGTAAATATAAGATTCCAAGATTTTAGGAATGTGAGAAGCTTGTTCCTTTGTGGTGTGTGTGTGTGTGTGTGTGTGTGTGTGTGTGTGTGTGTGTGTGTGCTCAGCATTAAACCAAATGTATGGAATTTCAGAATCATTACATTTTAAACAGTGACCATCTATTTATTTACCGGTCAATGTGATACAAGATGAAAAACAAAGAAAAAAGAGAGAGAAATCCGAGTTACTCACTCTTGTTGTGTAAGCAGCTTCCGGATCATCCTCTAGAACACGTGAGAGTCCAAAGTCGGAAACCTTACACACCAAATTACTGTTGATCAAGATGTTCCGAGCAGCAAGGTCTCGGTGAACATAGCCCATGTCTGACAGGTACTTCATGCCAGATGCTATCCCTCGAAGCATCCCAACGAGCTGGATAACTGTAAACTGGGCATCATGTTTCTGCGAAGTATTTCAAATGTACAATTAAGATGTGCTACTATCTCCCAAAGATATGTATTTTTTAGTTAAAATATCACATTCGGAATTTTCTAACTACATGCATTTTGGTTCTAAGCACTTAAGAGTATGGATACAAGGATAAAACAAAGTAACACAGTGGCTGCATTATCAAATACTTTGTAACAAGAAGTATCCAAATATTCTTTGACTTGAAGTTCAGAATTAGGACCTTCCTAGTCTTTATGTGACATGAAAACTCTTCCTCAGAAACATTTAGGTAAAGAACAATAAAATGAAATGGATCTTCTGGCTATTTTAGGTTGATATTTTTTGTTTGATTGAATTTTCATTCTTCCTTCTAGGCTTCCAGATATTTTATGAATCGCTTCAAATAAAGTGGATGTTAAATTTTTAATTATCATCATAAATAATTAGTTTCTATTTGTTGAAAATATTTCTTAACCATTTGTGTTGCTACCCAATCCTGAGTTGTAAGTCATGAAATAGAAAGCAGTAGGAGAAAAAGTCCTCTAGTCCTAGATTTAGAAAAGCTTCCAATCAACTTGGATCAAAATAAAAACATATAGTTTACAATGTATAGATAATTTATTAATATAAAATTCCATGTCTAATTAAACCTCTACAAACTATAATTTAAAAGAAAATGTATTATAATAGTTTAAATCACTTGATTATTTGTGAAGTATGTTTGTGAGATACTTGCTACTGAAAATTTTACTTGGCTAGTGAATATTAGAAATTAAATTTCTAATATTAGAATATTAGAATATTTCTAATTCTTAGAAAATTTAGAATTTTCCTTCACGCTTATGAATGATACTACATATTTAATCTATCTATCTAATCATCTATCATCTCCCTATCTCAATTTATATATTAATAGTACTAAAAGAACCTTGATGACAGGACTTCTCTGTCTTTTCTTATCACCTGTAGTGGCATGTAATCGGAAGTGTCTTGAACTTTATAAAATTTTTGAACATAATATTTGTTGAAATATATTAAAATTTAATATATTGAATATATTATATTGGCATGTAGTATGCTAAAATTTATTAAAGTATAAGGCTTCCAAATTTAAAGGCTTAAAATATATAACAAAAATTATATCTCTAAATTGGGAATGTATATTTAGCATTATAGCAAATACTTTCTGGGTGGACAGCACTATGTGAGAGGTAGATGGTCTATCTTACAGCAGACTGAGATTACTTTAAATATAGAAAAGGGAATACTTTTGTCTTACATCAATATTTTTTACATCTTGCTTTAGGGTTCTTTTTATTTTTATCTTAACTGGTGGAAATCTTGACAGTACAAAAAGGTTGAAGAATGTGGTTTGTTTTAAAAATATAAATCATTAACATTTGAATGCTACAAAATAAAGATGCAGTTTTATGGTCTTCTTCTTGCTATTTAGCCTCCAAAAGTTCAGTTTTACTTTAAATTTAGATTACCTAATCACTTGGCATGATATTAGAGACTGTCTCTAACATTTTCAGCAATGTATGCATAATGTGTATGTGTGTGCATGTATGTATATACATGCATACACATATGTATATATATATGCACATATAAAATCATTTACTTACACGTAAGAAACTGTCCAATGAACCATTTTCCATGTATTCAGTGACAATCATAACTGGCTTACCTAGATATATGGCAAATAAAAAATTAAATATATAATCATCACAGTTTAACAAATATCAGGCAATGGACTTATACGTACACTTTGATACACCCAATGAATACAGAGATGTAAGAACTTTTCCTGTCCTCCAAAAGTTGCTATTTAAAAAAAACACCTTAGGTTTCAATAGAAAATATAACTTAAAAAACCAAAAGTTGGAGAAGATTGGTTTTCAGAACAAAGGCTCATAACCTACAGTTGGTTTATTTGGCATGATTTTCAGTGAATACAAAATATGCCCCTTTCCTCTTTTTAACTAATTGCATCTAACTTAATCTTCAAAATCAAGTATTTCTGCCTTCAAGCCCAAGATAAAGTCAGGAATTCAACATGTATTTATTCTGTCCATAGGTATTTACCAAGCTATGTGCTAGGTATTCTCTTTTGTGCTGGTTAGTTTCAGGCTAGTAGATCAAAATTCCTGCTTTCATGGATTCTATATAGAAGTTGTACTAAAAAGTTAATAATAATTATAGTCTTTTACCTGTATTTAACACATTAAAATTACAAAATACTTGCTATATTTAATAGGAAAATAAAACTGAAATTAAAATTGCTATTGGCAGTAACTTGTAATAACCATTTTGGAAATATGTGGCCTTAAGTACCAGTAAACCTTTAACCCAACATTTTAATGTATTTATATAGCACTTATTATGTGCAAGGTACTGGTTTAATTATTTTATATATGTTAACATTTTAATTATTATTTCCATTTTACACATGAGAAAACTGAGACACAGAGGTTAATTAACTAACTCAGCGTCACACAGTTAACAAGTCATAAAGCCAAAAGTTGCAACCTGAACACTATTACTCTTAGAAATTTATACTGACAGAAACATTTAAAATATGATAAAACATCAGAAACAAAGTGCCAAGCATATTGAATATATAGAGCTACAAATAGAATAAATGTTCAACCATAGGTAATGATTTAGTCAATTGTTGTATGTCAATTTTATGGATCATTTTGAATTAAAATGATGACTCTGAAGACTGTAGCACTTTAGATAATTACTATAGGATAATGTTATGAAAATATAACTAATATTAGCTGAAAATATAACTATAGATGCATTATGATAGTAACTGGGAAAATAACTTACACAACAAAGATTTGAAAAAGAAAGAGAAATATACAAAATAAATGTTTTTGATATACAGGAAATACCAGTAATGTTTTTTTCATAATTAGAACTGTGTAACATTACATTAGGCACTTGATATATGTTACATCACACTTAATTCTCACAGCATACTTATATTTTAGTAATATGCACTCTTCCAACTTTACCTTTCCTCTCCTGAAAGCATTGCAGATTTAAACAATTTATTATAGTAAAATAATGAGTTAGTAGTTAAATAAATCCTAAACATGACTCTATCTGATGTCAAAGCCTACATATATTACTACATTGTAATTCTCTTACTTTACTGTTGTGATAATATTGCTTTAATTATAAATCCATCATGTTACAAGAAGAGGGAAAATCACTCCTGTTTTAAGTCCAGAAGACCTAAGTCTTAACTGAGTACTGCTAAAAGAACTTAAGCAAATAATAGATTTTAAAAATCTATTTACTTTCATAAGTGAAAAGTATTAATTTATACTTGTATGAATTGTTACATGAATGTTATGTTTATTGTATTTAGTAACTTGAAAATATCCCAGGAAGTATGTCTTATTTACTGAGGTGAGAAAAAACTATTTAAATTCTATAAAAATGTTCACATGTTATAATCAATGGATAAATTGATCTATTTTCTATCAAAATAAGATTGGTTTAGTTGTATATTTTATGTACCTCATCATGTAAATCTAATTAATATAATAATATCTAAAAAGTTCTTTTAGCCAAAACCTTGAGCCTCTCTAGAACTATTTTTTCAAAATTCTACCTAAACTTTAACTGGAAAATATTTAGAAAGAAAAGGAAAATTCACTGTTCCCTTGGAAACTTTGATCTCTCCTGAACTAGTATCCGATGCCTAAAGACTGGTCCCAGAGACCAGGCCTGAAAGGAAATGAATGAATGAATGAACAAAATCCTGCATATGCATGTTCTCCATAAATCACCATCAGTTTCTGTCTTCCTTCCTTAATACAATTCTGGGAAGAATAATACGCTATCAAAATTCAATGCATACTTCAAGTGTAGTCACAGATATTTTGCTTCACACTGCCAACTCTCAATAATATTGGCCAGTTACTATATTTTTGTACTACTCAGACCTTTGCTTATCACTCCTTTCCTTCTGGCTCCCAGCCTATGGCCATTTCATTTCTCATTAGCATGTCTAGTAGAATGTTTGGCAAGGGAAATAAAAGTAGCTGAAAAATCAAACCAGTCAATTAAGTCAAAGCCCCATGACCATTCAGAAATCAGATCAGGCTGCATTTAACTCTATAATTTAGGTATTTATAAACACATCAGTTAAGATGGGCAAGTCTGAAAATGTGCTTTGCATTAAGTTCAAAGATTCAGCAAAGTAAATGTACAAAGAATAAACAGAATTACAAATATTCTACCTTGGAAAGCAGTATCTTAACTTAGAGTTTCCCCTGTGATTTTGATTATGATAAATAGGGTTAAAGAAAAAGAGACTGCAATAGTGGTGAGAACTAGTTCTAACATAGTGAAAAATTATTTATAAAATGCCAGCTCATCTTCACATTATGCCATATATTTGTACTCAAGTTTACATGCTCTTTCATGTTATTTTGATTTACAAATGACATGATCACCTTCCTGGAGACAGAGCCTATTATCATTCACTGCTCTTGGAGACTCCAAAACACATCTCGGTCTCCATACTAAACTCAATAAAAGTACTGTTCTATGACTCACTGAAGTGAGAGTCTATGGGGATGGTCATGCTGGAGACTCAGACTTGTGGGGGGAGGGGAGGAAAGGGCATTTATTGAAACCTTAAAATCTGTACCCCCATAATACATCGAAATAAAAAAAAATGAACAAAGCAAAATTTGCAGTAGAGTGGCACTTTTGTTCTTAAATTGACTTCAGTATAAATAAAATGATGAGCCTTCACAACTGTAGAGTAAAGGGAAGAAAATCAGTCTGTTACAATCAGTTCATTTCCCCAACTATCCCCAGTGGCTCAGAGATATTACTAATCATTGAATCACTGCTTGATGACAGAAGAAATGTGATTCAAAACGTCTAAGAATTCCAGATTCAGCAGTGGCTATTTCACCACAACATTCTTAAGCACATTGTCTATAAAAAGAAGAGTAAGGTAACATGTGTGAGAGAAATAAAATGTCAGTCAAAAATATTTTCTTGGCCGGGTGCGGTGGCTCACGCCTGTAATCCTAGCTCTCTGGGAGGCCGAGGCGGGCGGATTGCTCGAGGTCAGAAGTTCGAAACCAGCCTGAGCAAGAGCGAGACCCTGTCTCTACTATAAATAGAAAGAAATTAATTGGCCAACTAATATATATATATACAAAAAATTAGCCGGGCATGGTGGTGAATGCCTGTAGTCCCAGCTACTTGGGAGGCTGAGGCAGCAGGATTGCTTGAGCCAGGAGTTTGAGGTTGCTGTGAGCTAGACTGACGCCATGGCACTCACTCTAGCCTGGGCAATAAAGTGAGACTCTGTCTCAAAAAAAAAAAAAAATTTTCTTTGCAATTTTAAAATAAATGTTGGTTTTTAGATTTAACTATTTTTCTTTGGACATAAAAATATTTACCAATTATTGAAATATTATAAATTAGTGAAATTTGATTCATTTCTAAAGAAAATACTATTAACTCTTATTAACAACAGTAATTGTATCTAATGCTTTCCATCTTATTTTCAAAAGATTTAAACATATGGTAATACATGAATGTAATTTATAAAATCAAAATCATTGACCTTAGAAGCTAGTATATATAATTAGAATCAGAGTGGAAGCAAAAAAAAAAAAAATCATAAACAGTAAAAGGAGAGTTGAAGAAAATTGACAAAATGTGCCTTACTATTTCCAGAAAAGAAGACTTGAATCATTTTTGATGAGAAAGAAGAAGTTTTAGTTATAAATTTTCATATATTAGATCAAACTAACTGATAAAATGAATGAATGAAGGTATTTTTTTTCTGTGTGTTTCTCATTAAATCATTATAAAAATATAGGGCAATGTCTTCCAAATTCCATTTGAATCAAGACATTACTCTGTTGAAATTACCCCTATTACATCTACTGGTCTGAGTTAATGAGAGCACAGGCCAGCTCCATTTGTGTGTAGTTCTCAGTCCAGCACCTAGTAGTGTGCCAGTTACAATTTATCAGATTATGTCTATAATTTCAGACTGGCTGTGGACAATCCTTCTCTTCAAAATTAGACTGATAAACACTTTCTCCAAGTCTTCTTTAACCAATCATATTTTATGAATCCGAATGCATAAATGCTTTACACTAAGCTGGTTTAAATTTTTAAAATTTATTTATGCTTAACTTGAAACAAAATTTAATATCTTTGTACACAAAAGCTATAGCTTACTCTCCCTTACTCCAGTCAGAGCTGAGTCACACAGTAGGTGCAATTAATGAATATAGAGTTCTGAATATGTTTCACTTGATTTCATAAAAAGTTTTGGTTTTTCCTTTTAAAACTTTATACCTTTTATTTATTTGTTTGTGTAATTTGAAAAGTATAAGATCTTCAGTATAGTACTGAATTAAGTAATGATAGCAGGCTTGATGTTCCTATTTTAAAATATATCTTAATGTTTTACTATTGAATATAATGTTTGTTTTGTTTTGGGAGTATTTACATACCTTTATCAGCCTTTATCAGGCAAACATATTCTCTATATATGCTAATAAGAAAAATTAAAATAGAATTTTATACATCTATTGAGATTGATTTTTCTTTTACTACAAATATTGTAATTTTTGTAATTACTAAACATTAAACCAAGTTTGGGCATAAAATAGTATTTTTAACACGGTAGATATGATATCACAATTCATTACAATGAATTGTTATTTTTCTTTCTGATAACAGTTGTATAGCTTGGTATCAAGATATTACTAGCCTTATGAGTTAGTGGTGTTTTGTTTCTCCCTTTCTGCAAAAGTTTGTGTAAGATCAGGCCTACTCAGCTATTACACTAGTGCATCATTATATTTTGTCTTCCTTTATGAGAGTTATTTTATTTTTAAACTAGTGACCTATAAAGAATAGTCTTGGACACATGCAAATCATTCTCCAACAAATTTTGTGATTTGTATTTAATTTTTCAAAAACATCAGAAAATCTTGCCATATATATAACTGAGGAAAATAAACATCTTATACTCTTATTATAATTCAAATGTGGCCAAGTCTTCCAAGAGACATAGGTGAACAGTGATGAAGAAATAAATTTTTGTAAACATGTAAAAATGACATTACTGTCTTATTTTTTTCTCTAATTTATTGAGCAGATATTTTCATAATTTTGTTGATGTGGACACTTAGACATGTTCTGAACTCATTTATCAATTTGAAATTATGAATGCATGATATAAATTTGTGTCACCAGAGTTTCCAAAATGTTTTATTTTTACAAACTATTTCTGTAAATCACTACTAAAATAAGCACAACATATGTATTGTCTATTAAGAACATGACATGAAGTGTTATACCTTTGAGATAAATGCAGAAGGAAACTTTTAGAGAGAAGCAAAAGAGAAATAACAAAATTTGGCATTGTTATTAAATAATGACATCTTATTCCAGCAATGTTTCCTCATCCTAAGTGCAGGAACTAGGAAAGTGCAAACCAATGGTTAAGGTTTTGGTGCAAAGTGGATACTAACAACAGTATAGATATGTTTTAATTATCAGAAATCCTCTTAATGTTCTGCCCATGCCATTTCTCAGTAATGCAAGGTTACAGTTAAATTGTATGGTAGTTTTTTTTTAATTTTTAGAAAATAATCCAAAGGAAAAAATACATCAATATCATCCAATTCCTTCTATTTTACTAGGTGAAAAGTGGCCAATGAATAGTATCCTTGGAGCTTGAACATCATTTGACTAATGGTGTGATGGCAGAGATATTAAACATTTGCTAAAAACAAATTCCATCCTTTTGAACTTCAACCAAAATTGATAACACGTGTTAGTACCTAGTTCTGAGCAGAGTTTGTACCCCTAGCTTTCTGCTACTTTGAAGATCAGAGACTCTCTCACCTTCTCTTGTTTAAGACTATCAGGCTGAAAATGTACCATTAAAATTGTTTATGGCTCAATTCAAATAAATTAAAATATGATAAAAAGCTTTCTTTAAATGATTTGAAAATGATACATTATATTAGAACTTATGTTCAAAGCACAGTTTAATAGCAATAATAAAAAAATTATCTTTGAGCAAAAAAAGAATTATTTTCAAGATTTTTTTCTATACACCCATAGTAATTGGTAAAATCTCGAACTTTACCAGAGAGGCAATTTAGATTTGCATAATCTTTTGTCATTTAATGTATTCTTACATGATCTCATTTGATCTTATTTCTAGTATCTAGAAATAAAAATGTGGTACTGTTAATTCCGTGTTACAAGTGAAGAACTATCTGTGAATACTTTACTTTGCAGGAGGTCTCACAACTAGTAAGGATGAGTCAGAACTTGAATTCAGATCAATGATACTTATCAATCAGATCAATATCTTCTCTAGATATTGACATGCTTTTTTTCTTTTTAAATACAGTTTTTTAAATTAAGTTATAAGTTCTGCATCACTCTAGTGTGTGTGTATATTTGTTTCTGAACTCTGTAGGTATATTGTTCTGGAAGTCATATAGTCTCAGGAAACAAAGAAAACAACAGAAAAATAAATATCATCTTTTGGAGAAAAATTGCCATATTTATGTATTAAATACAACCTATTAACTTCATCATAAGGAGTTTCTATTTCTTCTCAGATGTTACAGGGTGCCAGACTTAGAGCTTATAAATATGCCACTAAGGAGTCCAAAAATCTAATTCTATGGCTACTACTCTATTATGTTTACAATATATGAGATGACTGGGATTTATATAGTCAGATTTGGCAGCTTCTTACATGCTTATTTGACCAGAGAGATATATCAAATTTAGAACTCTCACCCTAAGAATAAGGCAGTTGTAATCCATATAAAAAATGTTAAAGAGTTAGACTTGAATAAGATATTTATAATGTATAATATCTTCAATTTTTGAAGGTAACTTTTAGTGCATTTTTCTGCATTTTTGTCTTAGAGACTTATGGATTTCTTTGGTTACCATAATTTATAATTATTTCATTTTTATATCTAAGAAAATTTGCTACCATAATTATAGTTCAATGTTGCTTTTCATTCAGTACATGGTTTCATAGGAAATAGCAAAATACAATGGGTACTTTCAATAATTCGTAACTCTGGGAAGAAAACCATCAACCCATGTTTGATATAATAATAGAGCCTATTAGGATAAGCTTAAATTTAAACCTAACATTTGTTTGATAGTGATTTTTATCTTATTTTTTCTGAGTTGTAGGTGTTGGAGAAGATAGGGGATAATCCTGTCCACATCAAAATGTAGTTGTTTTCTTCATTATTCCCTGAGTGATGCAAGCAGTTATAAAATTGCACTTCTTTGAAAAATGAATTCATTTTTATAAATTGTACACTAAGGAAGACACTATTCTTTCCTTCTTTCCTTCCTTCATCAATTAATCAATCTTTTATTCTTCAACATTGGTAAATTAAGTATCTACTTTAATCCAGGGTCTATTTTGGTCACTGACCATCAAATTACTTGGATTCTTGCCATCTTTGAGAGTTTATATCTTGTTTTAGGTATTAAGGGTTATTGATTTTCTCCAGAAATTTTCTGAAGCTTGAAGAATGCCTTTCCATGATCAAGTTGTTAGAGAAGATTTAAAAAATCAAAATATAAAAGAATAAGACAAAGGGAAAAAATAGAAATCTGTTTTAGTCCAGAGATGAGGATAAAGATGAAATAAACAGAATAAGTCCCCATGCTATGTCTAACACTTTCTAGTTGTACAAGCTACTTACCCTTTACAATTATTGTTTGCTCAAATGTAAAAGAGAAATTATCACATCTCATTCAAGCATTAGTGGTAAGAATGAAATGATGCCATAGTATTATGGCAGGCACATAACACATACTTCATAATAAAAAACTTGAAAAATTGAGAGTTAGAAGAATGGTTGCATAGGTACCAGTGAGTTTTCTCTTCCCAGGAAGATCAAGACCTGAAGGACCACCACTTGATTAGGATGTCATGGAAGGCAATGAATGGGTAAATGACATTAAAATGCAGTGAGATATAGTACAGTAATTCTATAGATACAAAACAGCATAGCCTTGTCCAGAAGGAACAAAAGATTCATACATATTCCCAATCCTTACTACTGCTACCAAGTACTTTTATTATTAATTGAAAACATTTAAAAATATGTTTTTCAAAAGAAAATTTTTCAATGTTACTATTAATATAACCTTATTTTTAGGAGCAAAGAAGCAAAAAAAAATACTTCTTACAAGAATTAACAGGAGCATGGGGGCTGTGGTTAAATATTCTACATTGTTAAATTCTTAATCCCACTTACTATACATAAAGATTTGAAAGAACACCAAAGTATCTAGAAGTAAAAATTTCAAGTGTACCATACTCTCATGAGGAAGGAAATGCCTTTTTAATCACACTAAAGTGAAAATATGTATTAGTACCATTTGGAAAATACTCTAATGTAATGTTAAAGGGAAATATCATTGTGAAAAACATAATGAGTAATGTCTGTTGGTAACCATAGAGCATGTAAATGTGGTGCCAATGAATTATCCCCTAAAGGATGCCAAATCCCCTGCCATATGTTGTCTTTCACTCTAAGGAGTATGATGCCAATTTTGCTTATTCTTCATTCTGTGCTTTAAAATCTTTGAGAAAAAAAAGTCCCGTAGCACTCTCAAGAGGTTTCCATTGGGATTAGAGCCAAAAATCACAGATCTGCCTCACAGGATGCCTTTTGAGCCTGGCTGGAGAAACTATCATGGAAATAAGTTCATATCTCTATCACAGGCCATGAGCCAGAGCTTCCCCAGAGCAGTCAAGAACCCACCTGTGACCCCAGATCAGAACTATTTAAAATCCACAGAGAACCAAGAAAAGGCCTTGAGTTTATAGTGATCCTAGTCTTTAAAGCTCAGAAGCATTTCCAAGACTCCCACATTTTTCCTAAAGCCAGGGTTGCGGGGGCTAGGTAAAGATTTGGAAACTTAAATCAAACTGGTGAACAATAAAAGAGAAGGCAGCTAGCTGGGTGTTCCTGTCAAAATTGAGTCATTGTTTTTCCTTGCTACTCTACATAACTGAGAGTTCTCCACAGTTCTCTTCTTAATTATCGTTTAGTCACCATGTCTTGATATAAGTCTAATGTCTAGCTCCTAATATTATTTTTAAGATCTAAAATAGCACTCTTAATATAATACTGGTAAAATATCTTTGCTCTATTATCAAAGAGAGGCACATTAATCCTAAACTGATCTTTCTGTTAGAATTGAGATACTTATGAAAAAAGATAAAAATTCTTAAATGGTTGAATTTGGGTTTAAACAACCTTTGCTCAACATACACAAAGGCAAGCCTTATGACTGACTTACTTTTAGTAACAACTCCTTCCAGTCGAATGATATTGGGATGGTCAAACTGTCCCATAATGCTTGCTTCTCCCAGGAAGTCTCTCCTCTGCTTTTCTGTGTAGCCTACTTTCAGGGTTTTGATGGCCACTGAAATCTCTTTTTTTGAAGGCAGTTTTAAGCGGCCACTGCACACTTCTCCAAATTCACCTGTTAGAATGCAGAAGGACAACAAGAAAATGGGAGGAATTGCACAATAAAAAATTATCAATAAAGAGCAACTGCTTTGTCTCAATAATTTCATTAAAAATATTTGTGTCTTTGACCTACAAGGTGTACACTATAGTGCTCCAAATTATTTTGGCTGATAATAACATAACACTGCCTAGGAAACTTTAGGATATACATATCCTGATGGAAAATGGACCTTGTAAGAAGCCACATATATCTTAAAGTACCACACAATAAAATCATGCAAAATGAAAAAACAAGAGATAAGTTGAAAGCTGCATCTACTAGATTTTACCCCTTGTTCTCATAGTTACGATTATTTCAGGGTAATTAACAGGACAGCAAAGATAGTGATTGAAGTTGAACACTGGATTAAATTTCAGATGTGTTTATTCTGTTTTTACCAAGAGGGCCAATTGGGCTTTATACTCAGACTCTCTGAAAAGGAGAATGAAGGCATCTGCTATCAATTCATGTTATTGGAGTATTGGTGTGTTGCCTTACTAACATAATGGCTATAAAGTTCTTCAGGCTTCTGGAAGGAAAATAACAATATAACAGTGTCAAATAAAACATAGTATGTCTTATCTAAAGATTTACTATAGACTTATTTTCTTAGACATAATATCTTCAATAAAAAATACCTTAAATGTGCTATTAGTCCAGAATTTCTTGAATATGGAGTATAGCTTACTTTTAAATATTCTAGCCAAATTGATATAAAATTGTCTAGAACTATGATGGGCACTACCTTCAGTATATATTGTTACTGAGAAGATTTACCAACATTCTTTCATTAGATTTTGAGCTTCCTTCAAGAAGAGGCCCTTCTACATTTACTCCTCTGTCCCCACACTGCCCTAAAGATTGCTACAAAGTAGTGCCACAGAATGCTTCTTGTGCACAGGACTTCTAATACTGTGTGGATTATTAGATCTCTTTTGTACATTAGATGATGGTTAATATTAAATGATAGTTTTTTTCTGAAATATTGTAGGATTAATTACATGGTTAATATTTTTTGCTCTTGATGGAATGAAATAACATTCTTGGTCCAACTTTCTCACTAGAGTTTTTTTATGAGCTTCCTTCCCTATATGAAAGCCAGAGAAAGTGATGTGATTCTACTCTATTTTTGTGTTCAAGTAAGTGGTTAGACTCACAAAAGTAGCAGTTGTCTTATTGATTTACCAATGACATAACTACAAATGGCTTGTCTTTCTCCAGGAAACTTTTACTTCCCTCAGACCTGACTCTTTCCCAGGAATCCAGTCTTGACACAGTTTTCACAGCAATGCCGTTTTCTGTAACTTGGCAACATCACTTAAAGTTCAAAAGCAGATATTTATGAATTTATTTTAAAAATACTCATCAACTAGTAACAGTATAGCAGACAGTATGAAACACACAAAGATATAATGGTGAACAAGGCAAGAGTAGTTTATTTTTGAGTAAATGTAATGAAAATAATGTTATCTGCAGCTACAGTGTTCCTTAGAATACAAGGAGAATTAGGGAGCAGAACTTGAGAAAGTTCATTGATCTTGCTAACTCCAAGGGAGAATATGTCATTATAAATGCTATAGAGTGTTAGAAGAAGAGAAATCATAGGGAATGCAAATAATTTCTAGAATTTGTAGCCAAGCGTTGCCATGTATTACATGTGTGATTTTAAGGGAGTAACTTAACCTCTGTGTGCCTGTTTCCTTATCTATAACATGGGGACACCAATTGTGTCTACCTCATAAAACTGTTGTACAGTTAAAAAAAATTAATGTATCTAAAGCACTGGAAAAAATGTCAGACACATAGTAAGTGTCAACTGTTAGTCACTATGTATCTCTCCAAGTTCAGATCTACCTTAAGAAGGATAAATTATCTATCTACCTATCAAGAGTTTCTGTTTAAATCAAACTGATAAATAAATATAAAGGAGCTTTATAAAAGGCCAAATACTATGTTAATGTAACAGATGGTTATGATGATGATAGTAATAACATAGTTCATATCATACTGGACAAGCATTTATAGAAAGAACATTTTGTAAGAATAAGGGAGAGAGTTCAAATTTCAACTGGGAAATTTGGATACATGCACATGAACATATATAATTACCTTCAAAATTCATAAAACAGATTAGTAAGGCTAATTTTTAAAAACCACAAAATTTAGTAATGTGTTTATTTCATCAGAAAATACTAGAAATGGTCTCCAATATATTTTACAAGATGTAGAAATGCTAAATACTAATTCAATTCTCTTTATAATAATTTAAAGTAACTGTTGGAAAAGTTTTAAAAGACTGGGAAAACACAAATCCCAATCTCTCCATCTAGCCAAGTTTTATATTGTCTTATTCAATTAACTTTGTATTCATAAGAAAGAAAATTTAGATCCTGTTGTTTCTAAGCATAAACTATCAGATCTTGATTTCTTTTAGTTTAATAAGTACAGCAGTTTTTATTTGCCTTTTGAAATATGCATACTTTATGAGAATGTGCATTGTATTCTGATTTAAGATGTACAATGTAAAAGCTGCTCAAAATAAAATTTCTTACTTTAATTTCATTTAAAATAGAGGAATAAAATCTACATGTATGTAAGTAGAATGACTCTTCTCCTAAACTAGTCTCAAAGCCCACTCTCCCACTGTTTTGGTAAGACAAGCCCAATGCTTATTTGTCACATACTCTACATGAATTATCTAATTTAATCTTCACAAAAATTCTATGAAGAAGGCATATTGTGACCTGCGACATCTAATATGAGATTTGAATTTGAAAGTACAAGATTCAAATTTGGGTTTCCCATTTTGATGTGACCACAGCCATTTAAATTCTCAGCTTTTGCTTTCTTATGTGCTGAAATGGAAATATCTATCTAAAGGCTAATAAAATCAAATATCATGTGAATGCCTACCATAAATTAAGGGCTTAATAAATATTTATTTCATCAGAAATTTCTAATAGTTAATCCTTGAAAGACTCATTGGATTGAAGGACAAAAATAGGAATTTTAGTCATGAATTCCTCATTAATAGAAATCTTCTTCAAGAAAGTTTATTCACAACTGAGTTTTAATTTTATTATTTGCAATATGGATTTAATTCTGATGATTCAATCTATAAATTAGAGTTTTTCTTACATCTATTAATTTATATAAAATCTCTGGCAGAAAATTAAAGAACTAGCCGAGAGAGAGAGAGAGAGAGAGAGAGAGAGAGAGAGAGAAAGAGAGAGAGGGAGAGAATCTTTCCATTAATTTAATTAACTGTGAATGTCACGTCATTGGTTGAAAAGGTTAGCCTTTCTAACAATGGAAGATAGTTATTAATCAATTTAGCATAATTATTACATTTTTATGAATACTATTACATTATATTAAAAAATTTAAAAGGATGTGGGAAGTAGGTAAAAGTGTATGTATGAAACAAGTGTGGCATTTGTTGATTGTTATTGAAGCTATTGTAAAAATTAGTAAATGCAGGTTCATTATAGTATGATACTATTTCATCTACTTTTATACATATTTTAAATCTTACAAAACAAAAATGTTTGAAAAATTAGTAGTTATTAAAGTTTTGATTTCATATTCTTTCTTGGTAATGATCACCTTCTGAAGGCTAATCAGAACAATCTAGAATTGGGTATGTAACCTTTTCCTCCTCTTATCAGATTCTCCAGTTGAGTATGCAAAGTCCTTGTGTTGCATTTGCTACTACAGTTTCCACCCTGGACAAAAGTGTGCTGTTGTGGGGAAACAATACAACCTGCCAAACAAAGCTCTCTGCGTCGTGCCGCTGTTCGTAAAGCAGCACTGTAGAAATGAAACCGTTATCAATCTCTACCTGTTTGGGCACTGGATTACCACAGATGTACAGTAAATGTGTAGACTCTCAAGTCTTAGATTGTAAAAAAGAAGTAGCAACTCAATTTTCCTGCTATTAACACAGTTTCATAGTTTAATAGTTTAATATTACCCACATAGTTTTAGATGCATAAGACATTAAGAAAATCATAGAGAAGCTTTAGTAAATTGTCATCTTATTTAGATAATATGAATTACTCAAGTCGTCCTGTTTGCATATTAACTACTGCTTGAATTTTAAATACTGCTTTGGTATATAGAAAAGGAAACAAAATTATATGCACATTTTGTAAAGAAGCATCAGTCATAAATATATATAGTACTTGCAGAAAATGTGATCTAATATGTTATACATAATTCAATGAGTTAATTTCTCAATCTTCACTCTAATTCCTGCATCAACATAGCTAGTTTGTGTTTAAGAGAAGCACTGAAGGATGAGATGATGGTGCAAAACTCTTTATTGTTGAGCATGGTTCAATTTTACTTTTTAATGGTAGTTTTCTATTCATGCTTACTGCACATCTTATGGCTGTTCATGTGTTTCTGTGTAAGGGTATCAAATGCTATTTTACAAATCAATAAAATTTTTCTTGGAAATATGCAACCGCTATTAATAATCACTTCATAGTTAGTAATGAGCTTATAATTGAGTAAATTAATGATTAAAACAAAGAGATGCCTGTATAAACACAGCTTTAACATAAATTAAGAAAATGTGCAGTTAAGCCAATATTAAACTGGAACACTTTTTGTTATTTAAAGTATCCACTCAAGATAGTTGTGATGAAATTCATATAAAATGTTATGATTTTATTTTGTATCATTTGGTTTTTATAATTCCAAAGAAGATTCTAAAATTGAAAATCAAAATTTTCAATTATTGGGCATGTCTAAAGTGAGACACACTTTTATCCCATTATCCCTATTTAGCCAAATAGGCTTTGTGACACATGATCAGCATAGTCATGGGAAGATTGAGTCGTTGCTGCTGCCACCTCTGAAATTCAATAAATAAAAGGCAGCCATGGTCTGTGAGTCTGTAAGTCTGGCACCTTTGAAATCATTACATTCCATTAAATGCTCCATTTATTTATTGCTTGCCTTTGATCATGAAATCAGATTTTCCCCTTTCCATAGCAATATACTAGGCATCAGAGACAGAGCAATCTCAGGTAGTATTCTTATTCACAGTCCTGAACTTGTGATGTACGTGCAGTACTAGGTGGGCAGTAGGATTACTGAGTTCCTTACCTGCTCCAACGACTTTGTCAATGGATATGTTGGTGGCGTCCAATTCCTTGGCAAATTCATGAACTGCTTGTGTAGGGTCTTCATATGTATGTGGGTCAACATAAGTCCTGAGTCCTGGAAGTTTTACTGTTTAAGAAAAGGAAGAAAGGCATTACTTTAGCTAGATTTATAACTTTTCTGAGCAAATTTTCAGATAACATTACTGGTTAAAAAAGTCCTAACACCAATAAGATGTACAATTTTAGTTGATTCTGTGGGATCATAGAAACTGCCAGAGATATTGGACTCAGTGTTGAGATATTTAAGAAAAGAAGTTCTCCATGATGAAATATAAAGAAGAAGCACACAGAAGAATTTTCTCTCCAAAAACACTAGAAGTAAAATGGACAAGAAAAGGGATTTTAAGAAAGAAGATGATTCAGAGTTGAGTAGGCGTAATAATTACTACTCATAGCACTAATGAGTCAATACTATCATGCTATTGCATATTCATGATTCTACAAACACTACAGTAACTAAATATCTATTACAATGTAATATCTGACAATAAATCCAAGTATATATAAAATACTTATATAAGGTTAGATAATTGTTGTGATTACAGATACATTAATTAAAGGATCTAAAATGGTATGTCGTCTGTCTGATACTCTACTACTTTTATTAATATTCACAATCAAAATCCCCCACTGCAATTATAGGTATACTTTATACTGTTAGTATGTGTATATATATATAAATGTATATGTATATGTATACTCTATACACACACCAATATACTATAAATGTACTGAAATCTTATTGTGTAGCTCTTTAACATAATTAAATGCAATCTAAGTATTGTCTGTGAGTTTATTAATGGTGCTAAGGAGCTAATTTATTAAATATAAATCTCTTTCATAATATATTTATTTATTAAACAAAGGTGAACATTTTAATGATAATCTATAATTAAAATATCATGGTCAAATGATACAGGAGAATCATTTTGGACTTTATATTAATGAAGTCCCTATCAGTTGGAAAAAATAACTCACATTGCAGATAATTTGCAAATTCCAATAAGCTATCTTTCTATGAGAGAAACTAAATTTTGAAAGGTGAGCCTAAGAGTTATTAAAGTAGAAAAACATGCTCTAACACTAAAGAAAACTGCAACTTAACTCACATAGTATATGAATATTATTGATTTTGCTTTTAATTTTAGTAACATTGATAACATTGCTTTAGAGTGGAACATGGATGCTTAATTGTGGCATATTTTTTTATTTATTACATCAAATTATTGAAGTGATTTTTTTCCTAATCTAACAAATAATATCAGACATTATCATTTCCCATATTACTTCATAATAGAACAGTCTGTATGGACCAAAGATTTCCTTGAGTTCATTTTGTAGTTTGTATTAAATGGGTGTAAAGCAGTTCTGGAAAGCCTTTAACACTACGAACATCAGGCCAAGTCCAGGATTTCACAGTTTGTGTTAACAAATGATCAGTTCATTGAACTACAAGACAAATTCATGAATCCCATGATCACGATACACTATAATTTATGTTCTCGTGAAGCTTTCATAGAAGTTTGAGTAAAGAAACATGAGCATAAGAATAAGTGGGCTATAAAAGAAACAGTGGCTCAGAGAGAAGGGAGGTAAAAACTGTATTTTCCTCAGCTACTTCTTGGGTGACATTGACACAGCACAATAGGAGTGGCAGGGGGGTGAGGGAACAAATGGAGAATGTAGAAGAAAGGCTAGCATCACTCCTGCTTCTTTCTGCCTGCTGCTACTACAAAAGAGCAGCCGCTCTCCAGCCTGAGACAGGGTGTGGATAATTTGAAAAGACACCACTATCGAGGAAGTCAACATCCACAGAAATGGGAAAATTAAAGTCCTAGCCCTTGCTTTGGGTAAACTTTGAAGTGGAGTAGCTTTTGAAGTGAGAGCACCACTTTTAGAGTTTTTCTAACTTGGATATCTCTGCGAAAAGAACAAGTTAGGCCTCTGAGAGAGAAAGCTTTAGAGAACTTATTATTCAAGAACCTAGCATGAGAGCCTGTTCCATAAGTCATGATCAATAAATGATAGAAATTGTTGACCTAATTAGCAGTTCCCTTGTTAAGAGTGTTTACTTATAATTATTAGTATCATTGAAGTTTCCTGGTGGTAGAATTTAGGCTCAGAGATGTCCATTTCTTTTGAGCTCACAGATCAGTTTGCATGCTTCTGCCATATAAACATTATTCCTTCCTAAAATCACAAATGGCAGGGTCCCCCATTAATACAGTAGTCTACTATATTTTATCATTATGCTAAAATGACTTCTAACATTATCAGTACTAAAATTCTTTACCCTTAAAATAAGAAGCAGATTAAGGAAGGCTGTCATATTTTTCTTGCTTTGGAGTAAAGAAAGCTGTAAAAGTAAATAACCATAGAGTTACTAAAATATGTTAGGAGACAAGTCTTATTGGAAATCCTTTAATTTAGTCAATTTAGTTCCATTTTAATGAAGATTCACACCAGATTGAGGTTATGATATATGATTTTCTAGTTTTGATTTGTCTCTACTTAGTAACAATAAGGTAAAATCTAGCAATTCTTTTCAAGGAAAAAAAAAGTGACATTTTAAACATAAGGTAGAATTGATTGTTTTTTTTATTTTTTAATAAACGATTACAAATGTTTTACCTTGCTGAACATCAATTTTGGAGAGATTTGCTGGCATCAGAATTTACAAAGACCTTTAAATGAGTTGTTAGGAACAATGTCTCAAATATTTTTAAATAAACACTGGTTTTAAAGAGACTTGAAAGTATGCTTTAGCGTTATTCTTCACTACCAGTAAGTCCTAGGGAATATATGTACTACTAAATAATCTGAAAATTAAATAATCACCCCCAAATAAAAATCAAATCAATCATATTCGTTGCTCTTAATTAAAATAAGATAAATTGCTTTTCCATCCACAGGACATTTGAGAGAAAAATTGCAAATATAAATACCACCCCCACCTCAAGTAAAATGGTCTGTTCACTGTGGGAGCTTTGGCTGCTGATATTTAACTGCTGACCCCAGAGGTTCCAGGAATCAGGTGATTCAGGCTGCAAGGCACATAATCCCTTCACACCAATAATTAAGGGCAACATACAGAGTAACTGGGCTCTGTCATGAAAACCAGATAATAAACACATGCACACGTGTTAAGCTGCACTACTTTACAGCTCATTCTGTGCAAACACAATAATTTACATTTCCATTTTACCAGCATGAGTTGCCCTAAGGATAGCAAAAAGTAAAAAGGCCCTGCCAGAAAGGGCAAGGGGACAGGATCTTAGGAGGTGAAACACATTTCTTTCCTTTTGAAGCAATATTATAGGATTTGTAACAAGGCTGGAGGGAATAGTTCATAGCTAGAGCTTTTTAAAGTAATACCAAATAAATGGTCTGAAATAAACCAGCTGTAGTATTAAGAGGCAGAAAGTTTATGAGATGCATATAAGTTACTTTATGCCTTTGCAGCTAGGATAAAATGCATTTCTTTTTTATTTGTCTATCACAAGAATATTACACATTTGAAACAAAATTAAAGTTTCAACAAACTCCTTGATAAAAGCCAACAGCAAAACTGACTGGGATGATACAGGAATCTGCTTGCAATTGGCACACAAAAATTTATCAAAACTCCAAATTCATAAGACTTATAATTCCTACAAAAAAATCAAGTCAGTGTGGTCTTTCACTAAAGACAATATTGACATCAATTGTCCAACTGAAACTAAGAGCAACTTAATCCATGAGAATGTCATTGTTCTGACTAATTTATGTATGGAGATTATAACTTAAGTGTTTTCTGGGCCCATTGAAAAAAGGAAAACAAATATCCTATAACTTGTTCAGACTTCTTTTTAGACTTCTGAATCATTATCCTAAAAAACCTGGACTGATGTGATGTTGACATTAGAAAGGTAGTACTTTGGCTTTTTTGTGAATTATTTTATATTGACTCTATAATGAGAGGAACAAAACAATCCCACAATCTCGTACTGTTTCCATGTCATGTGAATTTACATTTTGGACGACATTCTTTTTTATATTTCAAAACATTAACGGGGTACAAGTGATTTTGTTAGACGGATGAATTGAATAATGCTGAAGTCAGGGTTTTTATGTGCCCATCACTAGAGTAGTGTACATTGTACCTCACAGGTAAATTTTTATCCCTCACCCCCAAGGTAATTATTCTAGCAATGAACTGCTTTTTTTCAAGGTACTGTATGCTCCCTGAATGTTTGAGTTATAACTAAAGCTACATTTTTTGATGACAATCCAATGACTGATGCAAAGTATCATGTTGATTTGAAAATAATTTTAGAAGGCAATGGTGAATACTAAAGAAATTAATGCTTACAACACTACATTGGTTACATTGAGATTATTTTAGAGCACATGAGCATGAGGTATAGTCTTGGTATTAATTTCCATGAGAACATTTTATTCCTTTTAAGGTCACTGATTAGTAATTGCCACCCTAAGCTGAGCTATCATTTGGAAAAGCAAAACACCCGGGATGATTTGTTTCACCAGGAATAAAGAAATTGTCTTTTTTTAGTTGTAAACACTTTGTTTCATAAAAGTGTACTTCTTTTAAAAAATATTTTACAAAGGCTAAATTAAAATGTGGGGGGAAAGTTCTGGCGTTACTACTAGTTGGATATCATGTAACTCCAATACAAACAGTTTATTCTAAAGTCTCTTTCTTGGTTGGTTGACAAAATGGAGTAAGGCACTTAGTGTAAACACAGGTTGTTTATATTTATTTGGCAGTTAGGAATGAGGAAAGTCTCCTATTTAGACTAGTAACAAGGAAATTGAAGATATGCTTTGCCTTTCAGCCAGGCAGAGCTAACTGTAGTTGATACTGCCCATCGTGTGCATTATTTGAATATAAACCACAGGTTACCCTTTACTTTAGCTTAAGTATGCTGAAATGAAGCCATGTAAAAATTACTTAATACAGAGCCATGCATTTCCTTCTTCTTCTACAATAAATTGGATATACTCAGTTTTTCCATAGAACTGCTTGTGAATTCTCTTTGTCAGGGGGAAGTTATCCAGTTATATATCAACAACTGCTAAAACTGAAATGGTAAAATGAAACAAAAAACGAGTTTAGAAACTTACAATGCCCATTCCCAAAGTGAAGTCTTTTTTCATCTGCACCATGTTTTGACTTGTTATAGCCACAGAACCTAGAGGTGAATCAGGGAGGAGAATATGTAAGGAGAATATATTAAAACAATTATCTATGCTCAGAGTGTGCAATGAACACAAAATAAAGCATTTTCTTCAAGCAATTAAATGCTTTGGTGAAAGTTTAATGACTTCATATTTTCTAAATCCTCTATAGAAAGCCTTTTTCTCTGGAGACCCTGGAAAGCTGCCTAATGAGGAGATATGTAGAGTTGCTTCCCTACTGTGCAGACCCCTCCAGTTCAGTTTTTATAATGGCCTTAGACTGTGTTTATAGTATTTTTTAACAACTACTGTTAGAAAGAATGAAGGGTAAAGTCACCATTGGTAATGATTAGTGCTGTGCAGTGTTACCAGAGTTCTGGGTGAGAAAGTGTCAAGGAAATCTGGGGTTATTTGAAGAGTGAGGAGATAATTGGGAAAAGAAAGTAAAAACTGGGAGTGGGGTCAAAAGCGAGAAGAGAAGTGGTGTGTGTTAGAGAGCGGGGACAGGAATTTAATGGAGAACAGAAATCAAAACTAAGGATGGAGAAAAAAAGAAAGGGAGGAGAAAAAGGACCTAGAATACAAGTGGTGGTATTTTTACTTCTCAAAACACTTTATTTACCACACTCTTCAAATTTTAACAGCAATCAAGGGCAGCAAACCAAGCAATTATGAAAGCAAATAGTAAAACAGACTGTGACCTCACCTCCCAATCAAAACATATATGACAACAGTGAGGAGAATAATCGCTACTGCTGCTGAAATGGCAATCATGACCACTTGGCTATTTTCACCAGAGATGGAGAAAGCTGTGAGGTTGAAGAGAAAAAATAATAAAAGAACAGACATTGTCACATCATGACTAACATCTCCATGAAAATATTGATAAATTAAGTCATATATATACTGTTTTTACCTGAAACCTGGTTTAATGTCTGATATAGTGTTGAAATAATTATTTACTAGTACAAATAAAAATAGACATTTTCCATAATATGGCATGAAATTTCAGTCTAGTTAATAAGATTAAATCCTCTGTTTCAATGGCATCAAACACCACTTGAATGCCGACTGTGAAATATCTATAACTGGTTTTTTCTGTCCTCATTGGCAAAAGTCTAATTCAATGAACCCGAAGTTATCAGAGGAGCTTAAAGAACTGGGTAAAGATTTCTAAGCTTGAAATTATTAAAGCTTTCTAATTAATCTTGTTTTGCCTTCAATATCTGTATTTGTTTAAAAAGTAGTATGATATTTGTCTATGGACCTCAACACATATAAACAATGAACTCTCCCAGTATTTCCTACCTTTGCAAATGGCCCCATCACTCATTCATTCAACAAGACAAGGGGTCAGCAAAAATGGCAGGAGCCAAATCTGACCTGCCACCAGTTTCAGTATAGCTCACAAGCTTGGAATGGTTTTATATTTTTTAACAATCATAAAAAGTCAAAAGAATAAGATTTTGTCATGTGGAAATTCTATGAAATTCAAACTGTGGTGTTCATAAATAAAGTTTTATTAAAACAGACACAACCATTCATTTGTGTATTATTTATGCCTGATTTTATGCTGCAATGAGCAAGTTGGGTAGACTGCATATACACACAGCCTAAAATATTCATTATCTGGCTGATTACAGAAAAAAGTTTACTGACTCTCCATCCAGACCAATGCTTCTCAAACTTTAATGCTCACACAAGCCACATGGGGATCTTTTTGAAAATACTGTTTCTGATTCAGGCAGGCTGGAGTGAACTGACACTGAACTATTCTTATGAGCTCTCAGGGGGTGCTGATGAGGCTGATTCCAGCCCACAGCCCTTTGAGGAGCAAGGAACTAGACCACAAAATTAAGTCCCCTTATCCTCTCCCTCTGCTATTCATTCTACATCCATTTACTCACCAAATCCTCTTAAATATCCTAGTTTACGTATTGATGTCTCTTCTAGATTATCATTAGAAATTCCTAATTAGTCTCTGTTCATATGCCTCATCTATCTTTTACCTTGCCACCAGATTATTCCTTCAGGGTCATGAACTTAACTGTGGAATTCCTATGCATAAAATCTTTACATGGCTCTTATCACTTTGGGGACAAAATGCAAATTCTGCAGCAGAATGTATAAAGTCATTTAGGATCTGTTCCCTGTCTTAAAGTTCTAGCCTCATCTGCTAAAACTCTCTAAGCTTCTTAAAGTCTATATTTTCTAAAATAGAGGCAGTTTTTGGAGCAGCCTCTTTTTTATGCTCATATTTGCTTATGTTGCTCTTGTGGTAAATGCTGATTGAACACGTGAACAAATTGTGACTCAAAAGAAGAACATAGAGTTTAGCTATTGGAATGTTATCACCTTTCCAGAAACCAATATGGCATCTTCAACCTGATAAAATCTAAGTTTGGAAGATTTTTTTCTAAAACATGTGGTTTCAAGAGTAGTTAAATGATGAAAAATAAAACAAAAAACATGGCAGCAGATAGGCTGTTAGAAATTTCCCATTAGAAGCATCTGAACAAAAGAGCCCAGAGTGTGGCAGGATGGGCTCTCTTCCCATATATTAGAAGAGTGTGGCACTCTTCTAATATAAACTGTTGCAAGCACTTTATTCTTTACTACTACCAGCAAATTATTGTTTACACTACTATGGCAGTCACAGGAGTGCTTGCTATGACAAGTACAGTGAGCAGACACCTTCCAGCTGCTGCATGTTCAGGATTCACCTCAGCCTTCGAGCACAGGTCTTGTTGCCCCTCAGTGACTAAACACAGCAGAGGCAGGGGTCCTGGAGCCCAGCCTTTCCTACACCATGCAGAACTCCGCAAATGGGCCATCTGCACTCTGGGACTCACCCTTGGCTTCGCCAAGACCCTCAGAGCTACCTTGTGATCTGAGGCTCCTCCTCCCCAATTCTTCTTTCCTTCTTTCTCTTCATTGATGACAGACCTACATCTCAGTCTCAGGCTCTGCTTGCAGACCTCAGCTCTGCTCCCTTTTACCTTTCACAGGTATTTCCCCTAAAAAGCTCTTGCTATTGGAATTCCATCTTGGTATCTGCTTCCCAGAGGCTCTCACTGATACATCCTTATCCATTGACTATAGATAAGTGAATAGTTTGTAAAATAGCTAAATCCAATGTTTGAAAAATGTTCCATAGACATATAATAATAACACTAACTCACGCTTTTCATTTTTTATACTGCAATAATTTACAAAGAGCAGCAACTTTTGAATTCTATAGTAATTTTGATTAACCAACTTATACAATAAAGCTCAGTGAAATTCAGAGGGGAAACATGATAGGAGAAAGAGTAAGTCTCTATTTCTTTTTCTGTCAAAGATAACATTAAACTAAGATTTCTCTAGTTTCTGCTAACTCTAAATATATATGATTCCCAGATACTATTATATCTAAAGTGCATAACCAAATCAGATTAATTTTATTGCTGAAATTAGCTAGTTAGCTAATATAAAGGAATAATTTTGATGTGTTATATAGTTGTTTAATAATTTAACATGGTATATTACTAAAAATTTGTATCTATTACATATCTTAGAAATGCAACTTCAATTTGTTTTCCCACAAGCAAACTGCTCTCCCTGTTTTTAGTCACTTCACATTTTACTCCATTTTACACATACTGCTGGTTTTCCCTCCCAAAAGTAGAGTGTTTAGGAGCTCATCCTCATGAGCCAGAATGCCTGGATTTGTACTCATTTGCTGTGTGACAAATTTGGTTGTCTGAGAATTAAATGAGTTAATACAAGTAAAACACTTGCTTAATATTCAATGATCAATAAATGTTACATATTTTTATTATATCATTTCCCTAGTGAAAAACTTGCAAAATTATTGTTTCCTATAAAATTATATATGAATGTCTAATTTTATATATAAATTTCTTTAATAATGATTACATTCTACCTTTATCAGGCTTCCTTCATGTCCCTTAATAATAGGGTCTAAGAAATGAACATTGCTGCACACTCACTATTTAAAAACAACAGAAAGGAAGTATGAGGCATTCAGGAGTGCTAATGTAATTGTCCCTGGTGTTCACTTCTTGATAGTAATATCTACCAGAATCTTCTGACTCTAAAATTCAGCTTTGTTCCACAGATTTTTATTCTTAAAATCCTTTGTATGTTCAAATTATGAACTATTTATAAAAATACAATACACACACAGTGAGTACCTACTATATGGAGTAATATTTTAAGCACTTTAAAAACAACTAATTTAATCAGCATAAGAACCTTATTATCTTATGCACATGATTTTCCCAAATTTCCAGATACTGTAACTGAGACTTGAAATGACTTGTTAGGTTCATCCTATTATAATAATGCCCCTATGCTCCAAAGTCCTTGCTCTTAAAGCCTACATTATACCTGGCTTTCTTGGGCACAAAGCACATACCCTGGATTAGTTTCTGTCCACTGATGGGTTTCTGGACAATTGGACTGTTTTCCCAAATAGGCTATATGACTGTTTGTACTTCTTGCATTGGTGCATTGGTGGAAGCTGCCTTCATTCTAGGAAAATCCTTTTACTCTCCTGTTCTCCATGCTTTTTGTGGGTCTTAGTTTAGCATCTTTTTTTTTATATATATGCAATAGCAGTACTGGATCAGGACTCCAAAACTTGAAGATTCTAGGTTCATTGTCCCCACTTACTAGATTAAAATTCAGAAAAAAATAAACTCTGTATTCTAGATCATGTATAAAAGGAAATAGAAGTATCTGAATACTGTACAAATAGAATCAACTGAAATATTTATGAAAATGCTTTATATACTGTCAAATAAATACATGGGATCTAGAATCAGACATATTATGTATCAATTATGTGACTTTGGAAAGCTTACTTAACATCTCTATTCCTCAGTTTCCTCGTCTGTAAAATGAGAGTGATAATAAATGTGAAACACTGACATATAAAAAAGTAAGATATTTTAAAACACTTAGGAAAACATGTGTTTTATTGTGCCTCCATATCTTTCCTATAAACCAAGTTCAGAAAATGTTATCTAACTTCTAGCACAAAATGCACTGTGTTCTACTAAAACATAGGCATTATATGCAAATTATAAATTAAAACTTTTCATGTATTTCAAAAAATTAAAACTAGAGGACAAAAGCAAACTGTTAAAGAAATTCAAACATGAATCTTCTTTCAATTTTTTTAAAAATGTCAAAATATAACAAACAAGACTCAAATTCTTAGTGTTTTTAGGAATATATCTTTTTGGTTTAAAAAAACAGGGTGAGAGTTGATTTTTGCCTTTTCCTCCTAAAACAGAGGACTTTTTTTCTCATCTATATTTAAAATCTGGAAGAATTCAATGGTGAAGCAGTTAAGAGTAAATTGTTTTTAAATAACCAAACTGTACAATTCACAGGTTTTTCTTTTTGTAAATGGAGAGGAAAAAGAGAAAAAGTTCATATTTTTCTTTCTATCCTCTTTTTCTCTCCTCCCTTTCATCAATGGAAATATTGCAGATACAAAATTTACTTGGCAAAAATCATAAGACCCTGCAGTTTTCAAATGAGATATTTTTAAGATCTCAGACATTGAAGCCTTGTTAGTTTTTGCACAAATGTTACTATAGCAATCTCTGTGGTGAATATTGAATTATATTAGATCTTTGAAATGTACTGTTGTTTTTGCGAATTTACTTATTAGACATGGCTAATAGCTGATTAATACCATGCAAAATTAAATGGATGTTCCAATATATGCATCGACATAGGAAATGTTTATAGTGATCAGACTCTCCTGCCTCTTAATATAATGCCTGATTTCTACCACAGGATGTAATAAATATTTGCTTTTTCTACTTCTATGATTTGGAATCTCTCCTGGTAAATCAAATGTACATTTTGCTGTTGATGTTTAATTAAAATACTAATTTAAGAATTTGAAAAAATAAATTTGTAATTATTTTAAAAGAAGAAACTTTGTACATTTAAAATTTGCAAAACGACTTAGAACTACTAATGTTAAGTTACAATTATATTTTATTATTGGGTCACCTAAAATTTATCAGTTACTTTAAATCATGTTTACTATAATTTCCATAGTATTTTATGTTTTGTTTCTAATATCCTCAGAGAGTGGTTTCTCCATGCTTATTTCCTCACATGAGGATTAAGAGCGATCTTTAAAGATAGATTTATGTATTTAAAGAAGGCAGCTGTCTTTTGAGTTGAATTGTCATGGTTCATCTGTGAGCAGATGATTTTTAAAAACATTAGAATCATAATATCTTGCAGAATTTACAGCTTCTTATTGTAAGCAGCATTCTTAACCATCTGACAAATAGTATGCCATAAAATACTCACTCCATTACATTAACTTAAACAGTTTTTATGTTTTTTGGACAATCTTGAACATTTCTATTAGGTATCAGACTTGGGCACAAAAATATTACCATACCAACAGAAATGTGATTTTATGTCAGGAACAAAATATTCAGAAAATAGGAAATATTGGTGTCAGGGAAAAAGGGCAAATTGTAACAGTCCTTGGGCTTCCATGCAGTGAGTGCTGAGTGCAGTCAGAATATTCCTGGGTGAATTGATCTAATTCTAAATGGTATGCATCTTGGTCACCCTTCTAGGCTATTTTACAACTGTGAATAGTTATAGAAAACTGATAGTAATGGATATGATTTTTCCCATTACAATTAAAATAACACTTATTTACTAGAGATACACCTGGTTTATGCCCTGTAGAAAAGAGAACCCTATTCATTATATTTATTGGACCCACTGGATATTAACCTGTTGGGACATATCAGCAAATTTATTTAGTATTCCTGATTGCCTAAACTCTCCCTCACACACAAATATATAGGTATATTTTGTGTATACATATCTATTCTTCAGATTTTCCTATGACCAGGTTTTAAACTCTTACTAGTCAGCTCATTATTAGTAAGTTAAATAAAATCTTTAGCTTCTGTTCATTTTATACTATAGAGATGATTTTACCTTTTTGAAAATTATATTTTAGCAGAGGACTTTTTAAATGTGAAGTAAATGCATTCCAAATAAAAGAAAGTTACTGAGAAAATGTTTGCCAATTTTAGCAAAATTTGGGGTCAAATGGCCATGCTATCCAAATTGCTTGTGAATGTGAATGAAGTGATAAAACACATTTTAGAAAATCCTTATTCTCCAAGTGATACACGATTGAATGAGTTAAGGATTAAAACAAAATTAAGATCCTCATGGATCAGCAAGTTTCTTTTTTGTAGTTCATTGAATCACACAATGAACCTGGAATATCTGAAATGACAGGCACTGGAAGTGTCTTACTATATTAAATAATGTTCCTCAAAAGCAATTTAAGGCTAATAGAAAACCAGAAGCACTTCAGGCATTTGAAAAAGAGAAAAAAGAACACTAACACCAACACAAACACTGTATATATACTGTATACAAACACAATGCTATACAAATGGCTAAATGTCCCAAGCAATATATTTTCAATGTTACCATATTTGGTTAAAACTTAGAGGGAGTGATACAAATGATTAGACACCTTTTGCAACTCCCCCTCCCCCAACAACCCCTCCACACTACATTGAAATAATACATACAGTCTGGGCTAGTTTCAAATTCAAACTTGCGGCTGTTGGTCCCATATCCAGCTGCCGTTCTGGCTCGGATTTGGAATACATATGTAGTGTCGGGCTTGAGGCTACTGATGGTAACATTTGTGCCTCTTGCCCTCAGAATGGTATAACTTGTCTCTTGTTCCTGCTTTGAGGTAAAAAAAATGCACGTTAAAATCAAATCTTAATAATGCTATCAAATGATAAACAGTAAACCACTCAAAGTTGATTCTTTCGGTGTTAATATTTAACAGAGCATGTGACAGATTTAAAAAGTCATGCCAATTATTTCATTCTCTGAATGCAATAGAGACATTTTTAAAAGATGAAAATATTTACAGAATTTCCTAATTTGGATATTATGATCTATGCCCTACATATAAAGTAGGAAAAGTTAGGCTTCATTCTTACTAATTAATAAATACGTGAGTGAAGATATGTTCTCTTCAAAGTCAAGGCTGAGCAAAAGTTTCAGTCTAATCCCAAGAATAAATTTATGGAGGAAAAAAAAAAGCCCTTTGAACTAAACCTAACAGGAATGCCCTACTGATTCTCAAAAATAAAATATTTCTATCTATCTTAAAATAGTAAAGATAAAAAAGTCAAGTTTTCATATGTAGCTCTACATTAATCATTTTGCAGCATAACTATATTTTTCCTGTATTTAATATAAGTCACTATGAGTTAGTAGAGATGAAAATCTTCATCTCAAACTGTAGAATATTTCCCAAAAAAGATTGCCTCTATGAGATTCACTTTGTACATTAGGAAATTCACACTGCACGTTAATAGTAAGAGTCTCTTTGTGCCAAGTCTGCTTATAAAATTTGAATTTACACAGAATTGTGTTTTTCCTCTAACATATATTAATATTTACTGAGCACCTGTCAGTAACCTAATTTCAAGCACTGGTAGAATGCCCCTGCACTTGGGGTGGGGCCCAGTGTGGTTAATATAGAACAATGCATATCCTCAACCCAAACTAGATAGAATATTAGAAAACATGGCATACATTACAGATGCTTTTTAGTTAAAGATGGTGGTCATGTATCAGCTAGCATTTGAGTTACCATATGAAATAATGCAAAGGGTAGAATGTATTTATTTTACATAATAATTATTTCATTTGTTAAAAGAATTACTGATCACATACTCAGAACTAGGCTATGTTCATCATGAGTGAACAAACCAGTCAAGAAAGCTAAACCTTGTGAAGCTTAGATTCTAGTGAAATATTCAAAATATTGCCATGCAGTATACATGTATTTAGAAATAATTTTTAAATTTCTGTATATATGATATAAAGTAGTATTTATATACATAAATATTCAAAATAATATTACATGTATATGTGCGATTAAAAATTCCTAGGGAATAATCAATAGAGTCAATCATTTTTTCCTGCACTGATTAATATTGCTTAAAAATAATGATGTCTATTGTGCTTTGTGGAGGAGGTTTGAAATAAGTCAGAAAATTTTTTATGTTTTTAAAAGATATGAATGTATAAAATTGTATTTTGTAATCAGCCTTACAGATCTAAAGGTCAGGTACTTTCCAAGTTCTGCCATCCAGTCTGAACTGAGGCACATCATTAATTTTATTTTGATTTTGTTCATCATCTATAAATATGATTTCTTATATTTGCCCATTCTATCTTGTCATACTTCTAAAAGTAGAATATCATAATCACATGAGTATTTGACTTTACTCACGTGACTTTTCAGTGGATGACTGAAAGCTAGGAGAAACCTTATTTATACCATGATTTTGGCACAATGAAGTTTACTAGGCCTTAATTTCTTTAAATAACTGATACACCTTTCCTGTTGGAGGGAACATGAAAGAAAATAGCATCACACTTGTGAAATACATTAACCTGAAGAAAGGAAATAAGTACATAATGAAAAAGAATGTGCGTATATTATAAATTTTTGTACAACTGATCATACCAATAATTCTTATACCTATAATGACCCATTCTAATGTTAAAGGAGGTATGTGATATAGGGGAAAACATACTAAACAAGGAATCATGGCAGCAAGGAATCAAAATAGAGACCTAATTTTGTTAGCAGTGAGGCTGTGGAAAGTTCATCTAAAGTCACTGTTTTCTTATTTTGAATCAGTTTTCTTATTTGTAAAAGAATCTGTTTTCCTACTTTCATAAGATTATCATACAACTCAAATAAATAATGTATGGAGAAATGTTCTCTAAATGTAATCTGCTATATCCATGCACACTTTGTATTTAATTCAGTTTAAAATACTTTGTAAACTGCAGCAGGTACATAAATACATTGTGTTCATATTAGTAGCTATAAAACCAACCGGCTCTAATTATAAGGTTTGAATATATAGGGTTTGCCTTCAAACCTTACCATGATTTATAACCAAAGAAAAATAAGTGTTATTTATAGTAATAGAATATCCTTGACTAAATTCTATGTAGAAATAATGGTATACCTATTTTTTCTAATTGTATTACTAAACCACAATTTACTATGTGAGGCAAACTTACTCACTCACCCCTACTTTCTCAATTTCCTTCTACAGAGTCAAGAAAGCTTTTCATCATCAGTTCAATATTACAATGTTTTTGTTCCTAATGGAATATTTCTATCTGTCTTGGATGAAATTCATATGAGTGTGAAGGTCAGGAAATGATGCTTGAGTCAATGAATTAAGAAATAGTTCATCAACAGACTAAAGAATTACTATAAAATAGTTGGTAGAGCATGGGTCTTGGTGTGAAAGGGCATAAATGTCCTATCTATGGCTTAAGTTGGTAGTGGCATATTTGATGTTGCTTATTGCTGTAGAATAGAGGACGTTTGGCAAGATGCTCTCTAACCTCCCCCTTCTACCTATTTATCAAAGGGGCCACACAACCAGAGTTCTAGACAGAGCTCTACCACTTACTAGCAATGTCATTGATTTCTTTGCAAGAGCACTGCTCATAAGAAAATAGCCTCTTTCCCTACACAACCTAACCCTGTAACATTGTTTGCCCACCTTTTCATAGTATTTGACCTCATAGTCCAATATGATCCCATTAGGGTGTTCAGGTTCTTGCCAGGACAAAGAGATGCTGTTTCTGGATGTCCGATCCTTCTTAATCGTCATGACGGGTGATGGAGCTGCAAGGAGAGGATAGGAGGAGATGGTGGGAGGGAGCAATTTAAAGGATGGCAAATAAGAAGAGAGAGAAGGGAAAAGCAACTGGAGTCTATCATTGTTCTAATCTTTGGCAAGAAAGCACTATTTCCATTTCCAAGGCTCTTGAGTATTAATCTGGCCACATATGCAGGCTCAGCAGCTGGATTATAGCCCTGGTGCGTGCAGGCCTATGGAAAATGAACTGAGATTCTCTGCTGCTAGTGGACTAGTGGCAATTGAGCAGATGTTTTCAATCTGCTACTATAATGTAAGCAATGAAATATATTTGATAGATTAAAAAAAGAACAAAACATCAAGACTACCTATTTGTTATAATGTTGCAAAGTTATTAATGCCAGATTCTTCAGCTCATTGATAACATTTTCATATGCAACTCTGTAAGAGGACTGGAATCCATTATGCACAAGAAGTCCCACAGTATCCATAGGTAATAATAATATTTAGTGTATTGTAAAATAGATATGATTTAGGACATAATACAGTTAGGTCTTGACTTCTGACAAAAATCTCTCATGAATAAAAAAAAATCAAGAAAACAACAATCTTGTACTTTTAACTCTTTATTTCTTAAAAAAATTAATAAGAAGTACCAAGGAAATGACTGCTATGTGTGTTACAATTATCTAGATATATTTTGAAATAGTTCATTTGATGGTGACTCTATATTTGCTATGAATTATCAAAACTATGAAATATGAATTAAAAACCCTATCTGTTTGGATCAGGTATCACAGAGTCACATTCGTTTCTAACTGAAGCTTAAATATATTTTAAGTGATTTCCTACTTCAAATCCTTCCATTAAAAAGAAAAATACATACTATCCATCAAAGTACTTCTTGTTTAAAATCTCAATCTTGCTGCACTAGCCGATCAAAATGTCTCACTGGAGTTCAGTGGCCCCCTGCCTTAGTGGAATGCAGTAAAATAAATTGCAAACACAAACAAACCAGAACTCAGGAAGTTTTAGATACATTAACTGTTGAATTATTTTCATTGTTAAAGAACCTATTTTCTTACAGATTTTTCATAAATCAAGGACAATTTGAACCTTATATATTTGTTTTTTGTTTTTTTTGAGGTCTAATGGCACAACAGTTTTAATACAATCACCAATCTTCACAAAATAATTTTAATACTTTGTGCCTGGGCTAGCAGCATCTTGCACTGTGACATTCCTATACATACATAAGCATTTTATCCAAGTACAAATGTTAAAAGCATAGTAACTTAAGCAATTGCCTATACAAAGGTAAATAGACACCATAGTTATTTTTCATCTTGAATCATTTTTGCTGCATAGTAAATTGCAATTACATGTCAGTATAATGTTACTAATCTATAGAATACACTTTGAACTGTGATGTATGGCAACTCCCTATGAGCGAGAGCTAACAGGTAAACCTGAATATTAAGTGATTTTTTTTTTTAGCTGCCACAGATGGGAAACAAAACAAAACAAAACAAATCCAGCATTCAGAGACCCTAGAAACAAAAATCTTTTAGTTTTTCTCAGCTATTTCCTATCATTTCCTTATTGGACCATTGTTGGATGGACAAAAAGGTAAATACTGAAGTGAAGCTATGTTTGTTATGGGATTATGGATTAAATCAGTTATTTAAAACAAAAATCTGCCAGGTAACTGCTCATTTACTTTACATCAAGTTGAGATCCCTATATATACATCTCAACTTTATAATTCAAAATTTCAGTTAAATACTTCTAATTCACTTGAATTACCATGGTAATAAGACACTTGTCAACCACTTAACTTTTAGAGCAGACTATTCATTTTGGGAGAATTTTGTGCTTCATCTGAGTTTAAAAGTAATGTCAGAAAAATGTTAAGCACATCCTTTTTAGAACCTTATATAATTGTATTCCCCACAAAAGCCAGCGGAAGTTCTATATTTGTTGATTCAATGTTTCTATGATTATCACGATGACTTTTGCATCCAACCTCTCATTTAAACTGTTCCTATCTATAAACACCTTTCATTTTCATTACTCACTTAAAATAGTGCTTTCATTAAGCTTGTCTTGTGCCACTTCAGTGAAAAGTGTAAACCAAAAGGTAGAATCCATTGCAAAAACTTTTCCAACCACCTGTTTCTATTATTTGTGAGATCCCATAGGAATTCTTTCCTAATTAAAGCATTATTATTCTATTGGCCTGGGAATGATGACTTAATCCTTTGCTAAGGAAAAATGGAGGTGTTGCTTTTCTAATGAAAAAGTAAATTTATTTTCTTTTTCACATTTTGCTCTCATTAGCAACTAATATCCTTTCATGTATACTCTTCCTCTATTCAATATTACTCTGTTTTAGTTCCTAAATTGGCCTCACACTCTAGCCCCTGTGGTTTGCTGCTCTAAAGTTGGTTCCAAGCAAAAGATAAGTTATTTTTATTATATTTTGCTGAAGCTTTATGCAAATATTTAATGTTTTTTTACATATCACTGATATAAATTAACAACAGATATGTTGAATTTTTAAGAATTTTTTTTTACCTAATCTAATACTCAGAAAAATCAATTCATTATCCAGTCACTAATAAACAAATTGCAGCCCCAATGTCCTTGGAATCAAATTTTGCTTTCTGTACAAACAATGAAGAAATTCCACTAACTTTTCTCCTGAAGAAAGTCCATTAATAGAACAACTTTTAATGTGTGCTTAGAGGGCATTTCAAAGAAGCTTAATGTTGAAACACTTTCTTGTTAAATCCATGAAAGCCCCACATTTAATTTCATATCACCATGAAATTTGTTTTATTTTTCCTAACAGTTCAAATTCATTTTCAAAGAAGTTTTGAAAATAACCAGGTATAGCATCCCTCCTTTAAAAAAGAAGAGAGAGAAATTAATTTGTTTCAAAGAACAATTTTGATGAAGATTGTATTAACTTTTCAATGAAAGCTGTGCAGGCTGTTTTGGGGGTCTGTCCAAATTTTACTGCATCTGCACTGAGCAAGACTTTATAACTGTTGAATTTCTTCAAAGGTCTTTGAGCAAAGCTGTGGGGGCCCTGTTGGGCTGTAATAAATAGCCTTTTGTAATTCCACACTTACTTAAGTAGAGGCAATTGCTTGAAGCTTGTGCCATCTCTATGTTAAATGAACCTTTTCTGATTGCTGCTTTCAGGCCCCTGTTAAGTCATTTGTTCTGCTCATTTAGTACACGCCCCTTGTGCTGGCTGCATTTCAGTACAGTTCAACCAAGTACACCAGCTGGAAGCCTGCTACTTTTAGGTGTGGCTCATCAATATTTTAATATTAATAAATAATTAACAAAAATTGTTTTTACCTCTCCTTATAAATAATGCTAGGACATAATAAAACATACTGCAGAAACAGACAAATTCCATGGGCACTCCATTGTATTAATGTTTTCAAATCCATAGAAATGTTTTAAATTAATTTTTTCTGTATTAAAAAGATATGGTGTTGCAATGTACACCATAAGATATATTTGGTTTATTTTATTCTTATTCCTCTGTTTTTTAAATTTGTCATTTGAAAGAATGGAGGCTAATAGTTACATGAAATGGAAAAAAAGACCTCAAGACCAAAGAAATTCTGGTAGCTAGAAAGAAAAGTTAAGAAGAAAGAGAAAGCACAGGTTTTCCCTGGCAAATTGATCACATATAAGCTAAAATCTCAATTACTAGTGAGCACCACAATAGCCTAGGATGGACTTTTAATTTTGTGCCTCTTTTATGTACCTTAAATGATAGATTATTAAGATTTTCTCATTAAGAGAAAGAAGCCGATGACAGAATAAGATGCTGAGAAAGTAGTCCAGGCATTTATGCAGGTTAGTAAATGGACAGTTTTATAGGGGAAAAAGTGAAGAAACTGGTAAAAAGAAAGATTAAAACACCAAGAAGGAATTAATTTTAGGAAGTTTAAAATAATGTCTTAGTGTATAAAATACATTTTTTGTCTATGTTTGAGAAGGAGAAGATGTTTGATTTTTAGCTTTTGCTATTCTGGGTACAACTGAGAGATGTGTCTTTGTAAAACAATACAGAAAAGAGGCATGACATATTTGGTAAAGTGATATTGATTATATTTCAACTGAAATATTTCTTAGAGGAGTACAAATACAAGAGAAAAACAGTGAAGACTGGGAGGGAGAGGGTAGCTCAGGAACCACACAGTTAACCATTCTCTATGCAGCTTTTCTGGACTTTCAAGCACTCTGAAAAACACTGCAACCTTTCAAACACTCTGAGTACTAAGGAAATGCTTAATTATGTCACAGTGGATTTCGTCTTTTTTTTTTTTTTTAAATCCATTCTGTCATGATATAGGACTGGAGAGATATTTTCAACCTATGTTCTCTAGTAATACATGTTTTGTGAAAATGGTATCAAAGTGCTTTTCAATTTCTGTTCTAAGGAGACAAAACTTTCTGGGAAATAAGAGTTGAATTATTCACCTGATGATTTCTTCCCTAAGTCTGGACTTCCTCAATCAGCAACTGGCAATGACTAGTTCAGAAGTATGACAGAGAAACAGAGAAGCATCATCCTAATGGTTAATATTTGAACCCCATCTAGAGGTGGAAAAGAACTTTTTCTAAAAGATTGTTTCTTCATTCATTTGTGGAGGAAGAGCAAGATATTTACTCATTGTTAACATAACCATTGACTACATTCAGTGAAATAACAAAAAAACAAATCACAAAAGGCAAGCTTAAAAAGGTTTCAGGTGTAAATGAATCAGGTTAGGGATGGGACTTGCCTTAAGGGTAAAAGAATCAGGTTAGGGATGGGACTTGCTTGTTTGCAATTTGTATGAGATCACACTTGATATTTGTGCATGACAAATCTACTGGCAGATACGGAAGGGATTCATTATTTTAACCACGGTGTTTTGTAAGCTACATTTACCATTATTCTGCAACTAAAATATGACCCTTCCTTAAAATCAGGAAGTGAAAACTTCAAAATTCA